CAATACAGTAAGTTTCCAAAGAGAAAAGTTTAAAATCCTAATAATAGCATATAAAGACATTCCATGATTTTAATTAGGATGACTTTATGTTATAAAGGTATCAACTCTCTTCGAATTAGTCTGTATATTCCATGCATCCCAATTAAAATTCCAGATGAATTTTTAAAAAAGAAATCCAATAAGCATACTCTTAAATATACATGGAAGAATAAAGTTTGAAGATTAGCTTAGTCAATCTTAAGGAAAAAACACTGGAGACTTGCCCTCCCAGATAAATGGCATCTTATAGAGTCATAGTATCAGAAATTGTATAGTAATGATACAATTGTATAGTAATGATACAACGATTAGACCAATTAAATAGGAAGCTAAGACAACTTAATAAATAATAAAGGTGGCCGGGCACGGTGGCTCATGCCTGTAATCCTAGCACTCTGGGAGGCCAAGGCGGGAGGATTGCTTGAGCTCAGGAGCTCGAGACCAGCCTGAGCAAGAGTGAGACCCCGTTTCTACTATAAATTGAAAGAAATTGGCCAAACAACTAGAAACAGAAAAAAATTACCCGGGCATGGTGGTGCATGCCTGTAGTCCCAGCTACCCGGGAGGCTGAGGCAGGAGGATCACTTGAGCTCAGGAGTTTGAGGTTGCTGTGAGCCAGGATGATGCCACGGCACTCTAGCCTGGGTAACAGAGTAAGACTCTGTCTCCAAAAAATAAAAAAAAAATAAAAAATAATAAAAGTAACCCCACAAATCAATGGAAAAAAATAACTGAATAGTAGGTGTTCAGAAAACTAGCTCCCTATGCAGAGAATAATAAAGACTTATTGAGAAAACTATAATAATATCCCTACCTAGACCAGAACCAAAAATGGGCCCCAGAAGACTTAAGGACCTAATGTGAATAGTAAAACTGCAAAGTTAATGGGGAGACATAAAAAGACCTCTAATATAAAATCTCAAAAGTATGAACAATAAGGCAAAACACTTATTGCCTAATTATATGAAAATTAAGGCTTTCTGTCAAGCAACACCAATAAACAGAAGGCAAAATGAGAGAACATATTTGTAACATAAAAAACCAACAACTGACTACCATTGTATCTAAATTTAAGTAACTTTTACAAATCCATTGGAAAATGACAATTCCAACAAAAAAAATGGGCAAAATATATAAATAGGAAATTTTCAGAAAGAGAAAAGGCAGAAGGCTAACATGTACATAAAGAGATGCTCAAACCCAGAGCAAATTAAAGTAAAAATCTTATGCCATTTCATGCCTGTCACACTGGCAGAAGTAAAAAACTGTATAATGGGCCGGGCGCAGTGGCTCACGCCTGTAATCCTAGCACTCTGGGAGGCCGAGGTGGGTGGATTGTTTGAGCTCAAGAGTTTGAAACCAGCCTGAGCAAGAGCGAGACCCCGTCTCTACTAAAAATAGAAAAATTAGCCAGGCATGGTGGTGGTGTGCACCTTGTAATCCCAGCTACTCGGGAGGCTGAGACAGAAGGATTGCTTGAGCCCAGGAGTTTGAGGTTGCTGTGAGCTAGGCTGACGCCACGGCAGTCTAGTCCAGGTGACAGAGTGAGAGTCTGTCTCAACAACAAAAAAAAGGCTTCCCAGAGGTCTGACAGATTTTTATTTACCTGTGTACTAGGCACAAATTCCATTTCCTGGGGAAGCTCACCTTCTAGCAGAGCAAATTCTAGGTTAAGAAATCTACAGAGATGAACAAACTTGCCTTTGGTTTAAATTTTTACCTGGATTTGTGCCTCTCCCCCAACTCGGGAAATGGGTTTGGGGGCTTTCGAACTGGTCAGGGACATAGGCTTCAACCTTCTCCGAGGGCTCAGAAACCAGCTGTGCGAAAGGGGTTTCCTCCTCCAACTGGAACTGGCTCCAGTCAGCATCGCCACAGAGTTTTACTATTTCTTTCACCAAGTGCCTGCCGCACAGCCTCCTGGCTATACTGACGTCGCTCAGCTCACTGGAGAACCGAACCCTCAGGAGCCCGAGCCACAGCAGACACAAGCAGAGGAGCCGCGACATCCCTAGGACCCAATCGGGCCCTCCTACCACAGCAACGGCGGCGCGGTGACCCTACTCCCTCTCTGCGCCTGCGCCTGACCGGAGCTGTGCGCGCGCACCCTGCGGCATTCTGAGCGGGAGAACGCCGAGGCAAGGCAGCCAATGGCTGCCGGGTCCTGGCCTAGGCTTTCCCGCCCTCCCTGGGCTCTCGGGCGGTCGAAGGTAGCAGGTTCTGGCTTCTAAAATGAAAGCCTTCCCTACCCACCTGACTCTCCTTGACCTTATGTTCAGCATTTGTTATCTAGTCTGTGCAGAGCAACTTATCCCTTAATTTTACATTGCTTTTATTTTTTTTTATGAGAGATAATCTTGTCTAATTATAAATTTATCTAAGGGCAAAATAATAT